ACCTCCTGTCATCTAAGCATCATGCCTAGTCTACATCTGTGTAGAACTCTCGCTTCAGATTCTCATGATTTGAGAAAAGAATGCCTCTGCCAGGGTGCTTCTTCAGATATGCAAGTATCCTCTCAATAGCTTCCCAATACTAAACCCGAGGTACATGCATGTACTGACTCACAACACTGACAGCATAAGAAATATCTAGTTGTGTCATACACAAATACAACAGTCGGCCCACCATTCTTTGATATCTCCCAGCATCCTTTACCAACTCACCATCCATACATTAATTCTGTGATTTGGATCAATAGGAGTGTCTGCTGGTTTGGTCCCCAACTTCCCAGTCTCCCGCAATAGGTTAAGTACATACTTCCTCTGTGAAATGAAGATCCCATGCTTGGATTTTGTAACTTCAATCCCCAAGAAGTATTTGAGCTCACCAAGATCTTTGATTTCAAATTCTTGCTACAATGATTTTTTGAGATCATCAATCTCCTCCAGATCATTTCCTATCACCACTATATCATCTACATACACAATCAGAATTGATACCAGAGCATCTCTCCTCTTCACAAAGAGAGTGTGATCAGACTGTGTCTGTGTGTATCCAAAATGGATTGGTGCCCCTCTGAACCTGTCAAACCAAGCCCTAGGTGACTGTTTCAGTCCATATAGAGATTTTCTGAGTCTGCAAACCTTTTCCCTTACCAACATTCTCATAAAAGCCTACTGGAATGTCCATATATACCTCCTCCTGTAAATCACCATTGAGGAAAGCATTTTTGACATCAAGCTGGAACAAAGGCCATGAATAGGTGGCTGCTAGAGATAAAAGGATACAAACTATACTCATCTTAGCTACTGGTGCAACGGTTTCCAGATAATCAACACCATAGGTCTGAGTATACCCTTTTGTTACCATCCTTGCCTTGTATCTCTCTATCTTGCCATTAGCCCTATACTTCATTGTGAATACCCATCTACATCCAACTACCTCCTTGTCTGGGGAGAGATCAACTATTTCCCAAGTTTGGTTTTTAACCAAAGCATCCATCTCATCTTGCATGGCTGTTTTCCGCTTAGGTTTGGAGAGAGCCTTARTAACATTCCTAGTTATAGACACAGAATCCAGGGAAGAAAGAAAAGCACGATAAGAGGGTCATAAGGCATTGTAGGAAAGATGGTGTGAAATGCAATGGGCTATACACTTTCTCTTCCCCTTACAAAGTGCAATGGGAAGATCGAGGTCAGTGGGATCAACTGCAACAATGATGTTAGGGATAGGAACATTATCATCAAAAAGCATAGCAGGAGGCTCAAGAGGAATACCTGGAACTGTATCCATCGAATCTGGAGTTTCAGAAGGACTGATAGAGAGTGGTGTGGGTTGAGGATGTATGGAGTCAACCATCATCTGCCGATGCTAATATTTCTCTGAGGYTGCCCGTAGTGGCTTAGGTAATGAAATTGGAGGTGCAGCTGCTGGCTAAACTGATGAAGGTGCTGGTTGAACTGATGAAGGCACCAAAGAAACAGGAAGAGGAACAGATTGTGAGTTCTCCTCCCCAAAACTCTCCCCCTGAGGAGAACCACTCGAGAAGAAGGTGGATTCAAAGAAGGTAACATCCATTGTGACAAATTTGCTCCTCGACACTGGGTCATAACAGCAACACCCCTTTTGGTTTTGAGCATACCTAAGAAAAACACATTTCTTGGCCTTAGGATCCATTTTCTTGCGATGAGGGTCAAGAATGTGAACAAAGGAAACACACCCAAAAACCCTCAGAGGTATATGAAATATCTCCCCATCTAGGAAAAGCAGACTAAATGGCACCTTAAACCCCAAAGTCCGTGAAGGAACACGGTTAATCAAATGCACGGCTGTAAGAACTGCATCTCCCCAGAACTGCACAGTAACTGAAGCACACACCATAAGACTCCTTGCCACCTCCACAGTGTGTCTATTTTTTCTCTCAGCAACTCCATTCTGTTGTGGTGTATATGCACAACTGATCTGATGAATTACCCCATGTTCTAGGAGATACGTGGTTAGGTCCTCAAAGTACTCTCTGGCATTATCTGATCTAAAAACCTTAGTTCTCACTCAAAATTGTGTAAGAACCATCTGGTGGAACAGTCTTACCAAGTTAGGAACCTCATCACGTGATCTCATCAAATATATCCAAGAATATCGTGTATAATCATCCACAAACAAGAGAAAGTAACGAAATCCTCCTATGGAAGGGATATGATATGACCCCATACATCAGTGTGAACAATATTAAAAGCAAAAGTACTTCTTTTATTACTTGGTTTAAAAGACTATCTACAATGCTTTCCTAACTGACAACTCTCACACTCCAAAGTAGATAACTGAATAGACTCAAACAACCTTGGGAAAAGACATTTCAAGAGCTAAAAGAAAGGTGTCCTAAGCGATTGTGCCAGAGCATAATTTGGTTCACTGAYTCTGACCCACTACTACTGCTGTTGCTAACATGATGGCCCTGATGTCTTGGAATCTCATCCAGAAGGTAGACTCCATTCACCTCACGTCCACTCCCAATCATCTTCTTCGACTCCAAATCCTACAAAACACAATTACCAGGAAGAAAGGTCACGGAACAATTCAAATTCTTTATCAAGAACTAACAGACGGTAGGTTGGTATGAAGTCTAGGGACATGTAAAATAGAAGACAGAGTTATATCATTGGTCACTCTAACTGTTCCTTTCCCAGCAATGGGAATATGCAAACCATTTGCTGTAGAGACTCTGTCTCTACCAGAACACAACTGATAGGTACTGAAAAGGGTAGGGACATTAGTCATGTGCTCAGATGCTCCTGAGTTTATAATACAGGTTGGTCCCTCCTTACCTGAAGTGGATGCAAGATTTGCAGTTGCATATGAGCTACTTGTATGTGCAAAGGAAGAGGTGTAGTTGKCTCCTACATTCTGTTGTCCATCTGGAAGGCTAGTGCTAGGTGAATCTTTCTTACTCATAAGCTGTCCAAACCTCTCCAATTCTGTCCTCATTGCTGCTACTACAATGGATTCCCAATCAGTTTGGGAAAGAGGGACCGAGTCTCCTGTAGTGGCTACATTTGCATTTCCCTTCTTGTTCCTTGTCCGGGCAGGCATAAGATTTGGGTGAAGCTTCCAGCAAGTGTCCCTGGTATGCTTAGGCTTCTTGCAATAATCACACACTAAGTCCTTCTTATCTTCCCTTCTAGCCTCACTACTCCCCTGTCTCCATTCGGCTTAGGTTTTGTTGTACCAACCATAGCCGACTAGTCAATCCCAGGCTGTCTCAGCATTACATTCTTCCTACTCTCCTCTCCAAAGGCAAAGGCATAGGCTTGAGAGAGTGTCACACCCTCCCTAGAAAGAATATGCTGCCTAGCAATGTCAAATTCAGGGTTCAGCCCTGCCAAGAACTCAAAAACCCTATTCCTCTCTACCAGTCTATGATAGGTTGTTGCATCATTTACACTTTCCCATACCACAATTTCTAAGTGATCTATTTCTTGCCATAGGGTTTTCAGCATGGAGAAATACACAGCAAGAGGTTTTTCTCCCTGTTTCATACTTATCACCCGATTCCTTAACTGATAGGCTTTGGCTTAATTTTGTTTTTGAGAGTAGGTTTTAGTCACTCCATCCCAAATCTCCTTAACAGTATTAGCCCATAGAAATTTTTTTGCAATACGAGGTAACATAGAATTACACAACCAGGACATTACCATGTAATTCTCCTACACCCATCGGAAAGAGTCAGTATCAGGTTTCTTCTCCTCACTAGTGAGATACCCTAATTTTCCACGGGCACCAATAACCATCTTAGCTGATTGTGCCCACTCCAAATAATTTGTACCATCAAGT